ATTGACTTGAAGACATGTTCAAATCTAGGTATTTACCTTATTAATGAACGAAAGTGTATTTGTGGGGCTTGATCGGTGTAACTCTAAACTTTAAATCTTAGTTCCCTAAAGGTGGGGGACCTGGATGACGGAGTTTAGTGGCTCTGTAACTGATCGCAAGGGGCACCTGGGTAATATTTCGGCAAAAATGATTTCTTTGCTTTTTAAGGAGGATATCAAGCCCCCTGACTTCATCGGTTACCCTAGTAGCACCTAACAATGAATGATTATCCAGACGCTGAATCAGCATTTAATCAATGTTGATTCAATGGTTGGGAAAAGATCATTTTTTATTTCACCTTTCCACCTTTGAGCTATTGGAAATGAAATGTGGGCACTTCTAGAGTCTCTCGGTGGAGGAACTCTTGCATTGGAAGCGTAAGAATCCAGCATTATGCATAACTTAAAATCTCGGAAGGTTCAGCGTCACACTTTCGTGATGACTGTGTAACTGAAGCTTGGTGGTGACCCACCAAGCTTCAGTTACACAGATCGAGTTATATCCGAGTTATCGAGTTATATCCGCCAAGTTCGGGGTAAGTGGCTTCCCTGATAGCATGTTGGGCTTACGCAACGTAAAGCAGGAGTTCGAAATCTGAACAAATCTCCGATATAGACACTGACGTGTTTGGAATGAGGCATTGAATAATTGTTGACTAGGTGTGGATTGAATATATCACTGTTGTTACATCCGTAATGCATTGACACTAATTCAACGCAGTGACCATCACTGTTTATACACCTACATTGGCATACCTTCATTCAATGCTGGACCATGGTCGAAGTAAATGTAGTAAATTATTATTTTTCAATTCTTACTCCATCAGTGTTTGCAATTACCTCAGCCGATCTACTAGAAAGTATTTATTTAAAGATTAACGTTCGATTTAGAGCAAATAAGGCAGTGGCTGGAAGGCGCTCCGAATCGTCCCATCAAATAAGCAAAATGGCATTTTCGGCCCGCATAACTAGGAGCAAGGATTACTGTCAGACCGATTTCCCGAAATAGGCTCCGACGTGTTGATGTAGGTCAAGAGTTTAGTGACGTAACGTGACGATACTGCGAGAGACGAGAAGTGACGTGACGATACTAGCTAGATATATCCTTTTTAAACTTGAACTGTAATGTTATGTAAAACTCCTACTTTCCTTACTAATAATACAGAAGAGTTTTTCTGGGGCGGTCTTGATGGTGCAAGTTCATCATGTATAGATTATGAATGCTTTTTTTTATTGCTGCGTAACATGACTACCTGAGTATGGTGAATGCATTTGACACGTATCGAAGTAATAAGGAATCCAAGGAAAGGACAGACTCACGTGAAACAACTTCACCTCGTCAGCATTGCTTGAAACGACGCTTCAGTATGGCATCAATTCTTTAACATCGATTAAATGTTGATTCGATGTTGAGGAAAGCTATATTGCGAGAACGTTGTCCAGTCAACGTTACATCAACAGATGTCAGGTGAGACATCTGGCGAGACATGCGAACAAACAAGATTTCCTGACTGCGAAATGTGATGGCGACTTGGTTTGGCCCAACAACTTCACATATGCAATCAGTACGCGTCTGTAGTACTTTTTTTTTTTTTAGCAGTACCTGATATTTTCTCCACAAACGACGCCGGGAAAGTATTTGACTTGCTGGATATTTTCCATCAATGTGGCAACCCAACCAAGCAGGATAATTCTGAACTCCACATTAAAATGTTAACTCATTTTCCACCAGCATAGTAATAAAAAAGATCTATAAACGTAGCTGCATAGATGCACACACTACACGAAATTGACAAATAATTTAAAGAAAGTTGTCATTGGAATAGAACCATGAACAAGTGTCATGAACTCTCATCTCCTAGGAATCTGTCAAAGCTGTATGTCGAAGGGACCATTCTGGCCCAAATTGAAACTCATTAAAAGTAAGCGTTATAAATGACACCTGACTTGACTTGAATCGTCTTCATTAAGATCTGCCTGCGTCAATCAAGATCCCCTATATTCGGATCTGATTGCTAGGTGCTGTCTTCTGCGTCTTCTTTATGAGAGGTTGATGAAGTGATTATCTTAACTGTCGAATTCCAGACGCCTTCAGCATTGCAACGAATTGTGAAGCCAAGGGCTTTAATTTCACCTGAGAATTCCGCATGATAGAAATCAATGGATCAGATGAGGCCAGCAGCATATGAAGACCCCAGTGCGCCTGCACACAAGACTGCATTACAAGAAATACCAGAATATTCCTACATGAACTACAAGTCTTAATTTCTTGCCTCTCAGACTTCACTGATTCCTATTGGCAGATATGTATGGTCTATTACAAACTGTAGTTGAAGTGTAGTGTACTGATGCACTGCAACGGCTAATCAAAGCCTACAGCAAAGCTGGTCACACATGCTTAGGCTTGTCATTAACACGACATTAAAATACCTCGTGCACCAAAGAGGATTTCACCGTTTCACCATATCAATTCTTGTTTCTTCATATGCTGATAATAACTGATGGCAGCAAAATTAACAAAAGACGAGAGGGTGGAGTTAAGATATGTTCAAACGTTATGTGTACATGGAATCGAAGTCTTTTCAATTTAGTGGCAAACGATTCGAACATTTACTCTAAAGCCTATGGTGCGCGACTTTTGCGCCATCCTGTATTATTCACTGGGCATGTGTCAGTAAGAAGTTGTCAGTGTTCGCGTAGGGTACACTTTGTCAATCATGGAAGACGCGGAAATTTTTCAAAGAGCTATTATTTTATTTTTATGGAAGGAAGGTGTTAGGACGTCTGAAATCACTCAACGTTTCAAAGCTGTTTTTGGTGAATCTTCTGAATCTTAAAGTACCGTCTATCGCTGGATAAATATGGAAGAACGAGCCTTGAAGCCCTGCAGTGGTCTACGAAACACTGTAGTTAACAAAGAAAATATCGCAGTGGAGAAAATGTTAATGGAAGACAGACGAATTCGCGAGATTGCAACAAATGTAACTCAAGTAACACAGGATTTTCCAGTAACGTTTAGGAAATGTTGATGAACAATGTTGCATTTATGTGTAGATGTCCAAAACGTCAACGTTGCTCAAATACTGCGAAGGAACATTGCATTTACGTTGCAAATCGTTACTTATTCATTACATATACGTTGCAGAAACGTTTTAGGGCCGATTGCATGAATGCTGTTTTCCCCGGTGTTTTTCGAAATTCATCGGTTAATCCATTTTTGGCCTTAGACATCGGGTCTAAGGCCAAAAATGGATTACATGAACGCTATCATCCTTTAACCATCGGCTAACAGAAGCTGAAAAGGTGTCATTTCTAGAAGAGGGATGGGGCATGTTTTGCCGATATTTGTGTCAGTGCTCGTGCACTATCTCCATCAGCATAGTTCCGTTGTGTTTCACTAATACAGTGGACTGTATTAGTGAAACACAATGGATTACCTTTATGGAGTCGCTCAATATCAGTGATGTGCTCGTCTTCGCATGGGACAAAAAACATCAGTAAGAATACGACGATGAAAACTTCCGCATGAGATACAGATTTGGAAAGGCAGCAGTGGATCATCTAGTCGAAATGCTCCACCCTGAACTTCAAAGTGAAGAAAGACGTGGAAGGGATCCCTTGACTTTGCATCAACAGGTCAGTAAAGCAATTACAATTCAGGTGTAATGGGTCACGGTATCTGCACGAATTTGTTCCATGACTTTCTCTCGAGAGTATTTACCTCATTCCTGGTAGACCTAGTAAAAGTCATTTTCTACTGCTTGTAGAGTCATAAACCGAGTTTCACAGGCCATTGCGCATTTGCGTCCCCAAGTCGTTAAATTCCCAGAAGAAAGAAATTAACTAGAAGTCCAAAAACAATTCTTTGCTGTTGCTGGCTTTCCTAGAATGATCCATCGACGGGCATTCGTATAGAATGCCCTGATATCAACCAGGCGGGAACTTTCATCAACCGCAAAGGCTTTATTAATGTTCAAGCAGTGTGTGATGCAAGAGGGATGTTTACTGACATTGTTGCTAGGTGGCCAGGTTCCACTAACGATTCACGGATATTTGCCAACAGTGAAATATGCAAGCGACTCGTCGGAGGGAATTTTTCGGGACATTTGATTGGAGACAGTGTTTATTCGTGTGAAACTCATATGACACCACTGTTAGTTGCTCACAACATTGCTGAAGAGCGATACAATCGGGCTCACAAGAGAACGCGCGGAATCAATGAACGAACTTTCGGTCGCATGAAGAGGAGGTTTCCTTGCTTGCACAATGCCCCGCGATGTCGCCTGGAAATCACTTTCCCAAGTAACCCAAGATATTCCAGCAAACGTTTAGGAAATGTTGATCAATGTTGCATCTATGTGTAAATTGACGTTTTCTCAACGTTGCTCAAATGTTGCGAAGAAACATTGCATTTACGTTGCAAAATCGCTACTTATTCATTACATATACGTTGCAGATACGTTTCAGGATTTATGTTGCTGCAATGTTGATTAAAAACGTTGCTTCACGGGCACCTAATCTGGGTCTATATTGGCATTACGGAAAAGCGTAGGCTTCACTGGTCCTGAACTGGACCGATATTCGACCAATATTGGATTATTTATTTCATCCTTTCGTACATTCTAATCAACAGGACGAAGCCTGTACCGGTATAACCCCTGCTCCGTGCATAATACAGTATCTGTATCATGTACAGGCAGGAGAGAGTACATTTTTGGAGGTGATCTTCCCCTAGATGTGCTAAATTGCACAAAACAGGAAAAGGTTCGACCACAATGTTCTATGGAGTGTCCACGAAATCAATCCTTCGTTTCCTCAGCTATTAGCCAGGATGAGGATATGAAGTACAGTATTGAGATCGCAGACTCTCTACCATCGTTTTTTATTGTCCCGTTCTTGGAAAGGGTTCTTTTTGGGAATATGAGCTTTTTCTATCTTGACCCCATTAATCTGTCTAGAAAATGAAGATAACAGGTGATGAAGTGTCCGTGTTCATTGATTCCTATAATGAGACAATGTGAGACATATGGCAAGGTACTAGACATTCCTGTGCGGGACTATTCCAGGAAAAGGGAGAAGGGCACTTTTGTGTACTGTGAGAAAGCGAGACTTACGTCTCCATCTCGTGGCAAGGAGGACAACTTTACAATTCTCTAAAACTTCTAAGTCCATGTTGTATCAGAATGTTGTCGCTACCTTTTCCATGTCCAGAGTGTCAACATTCTCACAATGTTGATAGCTAATGTTGCAATGACATTCGTAGAAGTGCCGTAGCAACATTCCAAGTGAAAACATTGATGCAATGTTTTCTCAATGTTGTACAGCATCTTGCAACATAGAGCAACATAGGCAACATTTCGGAAACGTTTCATCAACATGCTGTGTTACTTGGGCCATTGTGCTCCACCAGTACACTGCAGCACCGTACTCATCGAGATGGTACACGAACGCTGGCATAAATATCGGCAAAACTTGCCCCATCTCTTGTCTGGAAACGATACCTTTTTCAGCTTCTGTTAGACATCGGTTAGACAATGGTTAAAAGAAGATATCAGTAGCATTCGTGCAATCCATTTTAGGCCATAGACATCGATTAACCGATGAATTTCGAAAAACACCGGGACAACATCGCCCATGCAATCGACCCACATTGATTGCGTTCATTTATGAATTGCGTTTATAATGAAGTTCATTCTTGGGTTTCAGATCCATTTTCAATTCTCCCGAACATTCCTTCCACTTGAGTCGCCAATTAATGCGTTGCATCATGAAGACAGAAGAAACGAAATGACTCTTCTGAAATGAGCTGCATCATTCAATGTGAAGTGCGCAGAGCCAAGATGAAACCTGGGAATAATTATTCCCTTATTCGGCATGAATAAAGTTCCTAGTCATAAGTCTTTCAGTCCTTTGGCGTTGAGCTTTATCGACCTACATAATCATACTGGTCGATAAAGGAAAACGATAAACCGATAATTCGATAATTCGATCATTCGATCATTCGATAATTCGATAATTCGATAATTCGATAATTCCTCGTTCTTTGGCAGACCTTATCCTCGCAAGGTCGCTCGAAAGTCGCACAAGATCTTCCGAAAGTCTTCTCGAAGGCGATTCGAGAGCGTCGATCGTGAGTTGTGACCAATGACGATGAGTGCTACCTTGGTCTTGGCTTCTTTTCTGCTGGTCTTTCTCCTGCATTCCTGCTTGAAAAAGTTCCTGCTTTGGTCCAAACTTCCACCAGGTAACCTACTCAGCTTGAAAGAATAACGACAAGTTGACATTTAAAAAATGTATTTCAACCCATGATAATTTCCAAAAAATTGTTATTAAACAAATGCGACCCCGTACTTCCAGGCACCTGGGGTCTCCCGCTCCAGGGAATTGCCACTTGGGCATTGGGAAAGAACTTGTGCGTGAACTTCGACACCATGAGGGAAAAACATGGGGACATCTTCACGGTCGGCTTACTTCACAAGAATCTCGTGGTTCTGAGCAACTGGGAACTCGTGCGAGACATCTTCGAACGAAATGAAATTTCTGGTCGACCAGAGGGCATCATCAGTCGAAAACTCGCTTTCGGAAGAATGGGTGAGTCATTCTCCTTTTTAGTCCAGATCCACCGAGTAGTATAAAAATTCTAGCTTCACTGGGGTGGTTAGTCTGGCGCAGTTTCCAATCGAATAAATGACTTACATTTCGCTTCAATTAACCTCAGGTTACCATCATTTTCCATGAGTACTCACAATAAATGATTATCGATTGTCATGGAATTATCGAGTGCACGAGGATTTGCCTCATGCTACCCATGTACTTTTATTAAACGATTTTTCGATTTAGAATTTATTCAGGCATGAATCAAAAGTGCTATTTCATTCTCATCAATTCATCATGCGCCCGAAAAATTGGTTTTGTTTTATTTCATTGATGATCCTAATGAAACGATTTTACGATAAATAAATTATTTCGGTAATTTTTTCTCGCTCCGATAGGAAGCACATCTCAGTACTTTGTAGATCCATGCGTATCGCATCGCATCGCAGCAAGAAGTGACGCGCGAGGAACGTGAGAGTACACATATATCTGAATTTATTTTGTTGTAAATATTTGCAAAGCCAGGAATCAGGTCAGAGAGGCACCTGTACGTGTACGTATCTGCGGGTGACATAACAATGTCGAAGGAGCTGAGCATCCTCTCTTCCCCGAGCGAGTTCTCCACCTGCGATGTTGCTCACGATGAATGACAGCATCGCTTGCAGATAGGGACGGGGCAGCTCCCTCATACAAAGACTTTCGTAAGGAAGGCTGGTGAGGGTCTACCATCTTCTGCTCCCTAGGCGCGAAGCTGTGGCAAGGATGTGGCACGATGAAGGTCAGGGGAGCCGAGTCTCCAGTCAGACACAGGAGATAAATATCTCCTGCCAGTCTCTTTCCTCGCACAACAAAGGAAGGAGTGCTAAAAAAAAAATCCGTTCATCGTCACAATCGAATGTGTATCCTGGTTCGCATCACGATGCAGACGGAACTGAACTGTAGGGAAAAGGGGATGCACTTGTTTTTTTTTTTTTTTAATCTCCTCTACTCGAAGGGGCCATGTGCGAATGCTTAAACATTTTAAACGTGTATTGTGAAGCTATATCAATTATGCCAAGCTCTTCTTGTTTCCTCGTGTTTCGTCGTTGTCGTCGTAGTTGAGGATATTTCTTATCCGTTTTCTCCCTTCCGGGCGGACCTCAAAACGCAATCACTCAAGAACTTATTTGGCTGTGTTTTGTAAATGAGTATTTTGGGGAAAAATTTTTTATCCAGCAAAACGTTAAGAAACGTCTCAACATGAGGGGGAGGAATTTCTTCTCAAAGGATTTACAAGAAAGGATATATAATTAAAAATCGAAAAGGCGATACTATCCTAGTGAAATTCCTCGCGACGACGAGGAACCACCACAGCGAAGCTCTCCGTCCATTTTGCGGGATGATGACATTCAAATCCTTTTCCCAAACTCGAAATTGCCAGTTCCCAAGACCGCCATATCAAAAGTCTTCCGATTAAAATATTCCGTCTTCGGCAAATATAATCCCAAAGCATATTTTGCTGCCTTTCAGGGTCGGGTACATCGCTGACTTGTGTGTACGAGGGGGATCATACCTTCAACATAGAGTCACTGCCTAACTTTGCTTCAATAATTTTTCCAATAGCAAATCAAAGCCATGAACGCATTCCGTTTTGGCAGGTGGTTTAAACGTCTTTGCATCCATTTTCCAGGTATCGCAGCAGCGGAGGGAAGTTTTTGGCAAGACAACCGACGTTTCACCGTGCGGATTTTGAAGGATTTTGGCTTCGGGAAAAGAGAAGTCATGAATTCCATGATACAAGACGCCGCCCTCACTCTCTGCCGATTCCTCGGAGAAAATCAGCACAAGCCACAAGATCTTGGTCCCCGCCTCAATCTTGCAATCATCAATATCATCTGGAGAATGATTGCAGGTGCGCAAGCAAATTCATCTTTGTTCTTTTCAATTTTTTATTTAAATTGTTATGTCGATACTTAAATGACTACATAAAAAGATTAAACATTAAAAAAAAATTATTTTTGTCCACAGATAAGCAATTGTCTCATGACGATGCCAAGATGCAGGACATCATGATCAAAATCGAGGAAGTATTCAACGATGCTAACCACCTTCGCTTCTTCGATTTGTTCCCCTTCTTGGTATACCTTTGGCCGCCAGCACTTCGAGCCTGTCGACGCATGGATCGGAGCGTGACAACCCTATCGAAAATATTTTCGGTATCTAGTGTCTTTCTATATTTTTCTTGAAATAGGGAGTAGTTGCCAGCGAATTTAACTTCATGATGCTTAACTAGGGCATAAAGTAAAAAAAATGTCAGAAGAGTAAAGGGCAAAAAAGCAATCAGGTATGCGGGGATTATCATTAGTAGAAAGTACGACAATGATGAAATATTGATAATAAAAATGCTGAAAAGTAAGCATAATGTCATGCGTTGGGTTGCCACGTCCATCTTCGAAACTTTATGCTTCTTAAACTTTCAGCGTCCTAGCCGTATATGCGAAATCATCCCACAAATAATTTTTGCCTCTCAACAGACCTGGTGCAATTTGGTCGGACTTAAAAGTTCCGACTTAATGCGAATGAAGGCCATTCCCGCATGAAATTCCGTAAAGCATTTTCCATGAAAAATTAACATGATTTCGCCAATTAAAGATGAGCAGGCGATGATGTCCTTTTTCACGAATGGATGGAGAGAGATACGAACCCTCCCACCCAGCCCCATGGCGGTTGCAGAGCCATCCAAGAATGGAGGAGCTCCGCCAGAATGTGAAAGGTCTCTACTATTTTGGGAGCTTAAGTGAAACTTCTGTCATCCCGGGATTCTCCTCACTTTAGGATCTTGAGTCTTTGTAATTTTTTTCCGCCTCCATAAAGGAGGAATTAAAAGTGAGTCCTTTTTGTCGGATCACCTTGGCTTTGTTGTGCGCCATCTCCATATGCAATTTGAAGAACGAATATTTTAAATATTTTTACGCATGACAATAAAGCGTCCAAGAACTGTGGCATATAAGGACGCCCGAACCAAGTGGGACCTGGAAGGATTAGCTATTGATGAAGTTAACCTATTTGTATGCTTAGTAATTATTACAACTCCCATCCAGGAGGAGATAAAAGATCACAAGAAAAACCTTTCACTTTCCGAGGATCCCAAGGATTTCATTGATGCCTACCTCACGGAAATGGCACGACAGAAGGCTCGAGGAGAGATCAATCCCAATTTCTCAGGTATTTTAATGATGACCTTTGAAAAAGGAGGAAAATCTCTAGTGTTCTTTAATTGAGTGTTTCCTCTTACCCCTAGAATTCGAATTGCAAGTAATCATCTCGGATCTGTTCATCGCCGGGAGCGAGACAACAACAAACACCATTCGTTGGTGCGTCCTGTTTCTCCTCTGCCACCCCGAAATTCAGGAGAAACTCCAGGCTGAAGTTGACTCCGTTGTAGGGCCCGACAGACTTCCTTCGCTGGATGACCGAGACAGGTTTCATCTGAGATATATTGTCGATGGATGCAGAAAAAAATCAGCCAGAAAATCCTCCCGTTTAAAATGTATAGAATTAATAATAATAATAACCTTTGTGGAATACATACAGAATGCAGTATACTCAAGCCTTCATGATGGAAGTGCTGCGACTAGGAGTCATGCTCCCTGTGGGCGCGCCTCACGCGGCCACCGAGGACACAGAAGTAGCTGGATTTCTTTTCCCCAAGGTGAACCAAAAATCTAGCTAAAATTATTTTCTACAGAATTTCCCCATTCTTGAACTATTAATTTTGAAGTCTCCAAATTTCCAATGCAGTATCCAAAAGAATTGCAGCAATCATTGATAGATAGCAGAGGCATCGGAATTCACTGAGTATATCAAACGTCAATAATAAAACGTTAATAATAACATATCAGTCAATAAGATATTCATTTTTTAAAACACGGAATGTTCCATAGGGGACAATTGTTTTCGCAAACGTCTGGGCGTGTCACATGGATCCGAAGTTCTGGCCCGATCCAGGGAAGTTTGATCCGGGAAGATTCCTCAATCCAGATGGAACCCTGAAGACCAAAGTCCCTAGCTACTTTCCATTTTCTCTCGGTTGGTCAACTCATTCGAGGTGACTAGGGCCTGACATGCAGCATTTTATTTTGAACACTCATTGCCAACAGGGAAGCGCCAATGTCCGGGCGAGTCAGTGGCTCTCATGGAAATCTTCTTGTTCATGGCCATCTTCATGCAGAAATTCACATTTCGCACCACTATAGGACTTCCTCATCCCAAACCCGAGAGTGTCCCGAGCTTACCCTTGAATCATCCTCAACCCTTCCAATTCCTCGTGGGCGAGAGGAAGCTTTGGAACAAGAGCGATTCATTGTTCATCGTTCCTGATCCCCCAACTAGTAACTGGTAGACAACAGATGGAGAACATTTATTTTGAAATTGTTTGTACCTCGTACATGGAATCCATAGTTGGAAGAATGAATGAAATGTATTAATTTTTAGAGGCTTAAGGTACAGAGTTGTCTTTCCAATAAAGTTCAATTTGGGAATCATTGGAGCTGTCCATTTAAAAAATTTCTAAAAAAAAATTTTCAACAGAAATCATGTGAAAACGATTTTTGAAAAACTTGCCTTTACTTCATTCCCTTCTCCTTTCCCCTATCGTGCACTCTGATGATGAAAGTGAAGCCCAATTTTGTTCCAAACGCGATTAAGCCTTTTAATAACAAGGAAAGTGTCATCCTACGCTGAAAAGGATCTATAAAGTATTCTAAACTGTGACCTTATTTTTGTCAATTGGGGAAATGCAAGCGCAAATAGTGAACGACCAATCCACGTGGAGAGGTTTGATTAATGAGTTTAGACAAGACTCATAACGAAAATAACAAATTTTTTGCCAACTATTGACTTATTATTTATCAAGTTTTCTAAACCTACCTATTTCCAAAGGTAGGTTTCAATCGCGCTCATTCCTAATTTAATGTCGACGGCCCATAGAAAACGTCGACCTGCGTCCTGCTGCATGAACGACCATGTAGAGAGGATTTTGAGCCTGGTGGAAATACACCTGATCATTCGCGAAAGGCGTTTCTCGACCCAAATGGATGTTCCCACCTGGGGAGGAATTTTAATAAGATGGACATAGCTCCGACAGGCAGTGTTGTGCCGCGTTACTTTTGAAAAGTAACTAGTTGCAATTACAAGTATTTCATCCAAGAAGTAATTATTTACCTGTAGAATTACTTCTTACCGAAGATCTTACAGAAAAGCGCAGAAATCTCTCTGATACAGTTTATGTATTAGAGGAGCAGTTCCCCCTCTGCGTCGGAGGTAAATGCTGGGAATGAGTTAGAAATTGGTAATTCTCCTTCTCCATAGCAGAATTTAGGCACTCTCCTGACAATTGGGCGTACTCACAGCATCGATGTAAGCCTGGATAGAAGAGCTGCTTACCGACGGCAAGGTGTGCACATTTCGTGTCGTCGAAGATGACGAATAATTAAAAATGTCAACATTTTAAAAGAGAAGAAGATATTACGCAGTCGGCGGATGGTGGCATGTCGCATTGTGCCGCATGTGTCGGTAGTTGCAGCCGACGACTTGTGGCCACGGCAAGGGAATCGGCTGCGAAGATTTCTCCTCGAAGGCTAAGGCCTCCTAAAAAAATTTCTCTAAAAAAGCCTCCCCCGATTGGACAGATTTCGAAGTATACGTAACCGTTGGAATATCAGGATTCTGAGAAATTGTTTTCCTTCTCTAGTCAATTGTGGAGGAATCTTCTTCATGGCAAGAGATTGTTATGAAAACTGGACGTGAAATCTTTTGGATGAAAGAAGAGGGAACGGAAATAGAAAACAGAAACAGGTTTTAATCGGAGAAAATGCCGTCTACCTTGCATTTCAAGCTAAATTGTCAGCAACAAATCAACCGGGGGAAAATGACGAATGCCAAGGCACGCGGCCTCATTCTCGTTGAAGGTCGAAAGAGGTATGCAAGTCATACTATCCAGTCATAGTTTTGATTCATATTCTCATTCCCTACGAATCAACAGCATACTTCTCCGTCGGTAGAACTAAAGCCGAACGATTTCTTTCCCATTTCATTATAGACTTGAGTGGTTAAAAAAAGAAAACCAGGACAACATATGGGAGCAATTCATCCGTGAAGATGTTAACAGAGTGTTGACTGATGCTAAAGTTATTTGTGGCGCCAAAGTGTCAGAAAAAATTGGTTAAATTTAAGATGACACAGACCTGTATCAGTGTGACGAGGCGCTATTTCATGCTTCAGGCAGGGAAGACACGAATCCTTCTGAAATTCCCAATAGATTTGCATACAAGTAGAGTGAATCGCGACGGTGCGTCGTGTTATGATGCGGAAAATCGCTATTCAAATAAGCTAAACAAGGGGAAGAGAAATTCCTTTATTACTTGTCTTTTTCGAGAGCGTCAATGGCATAAACTTGCGCAATTTGTTCAACTTGTTCTTAGGGGGTCCCAAAGCCATTCGGATCATTGCTGAGACATAGAGCGATTCAACTGAAATTGTCAGTTTCCGTCCTGCAGTGGGTACAGCTCGGGCATTTCCGTAATACAGATTCCTGGGTACTCATGAAGTTATGATGCAAGTGCATCAATATAGTAGAAATACCGAAAAATCCGCGGAATTCCGTGAATTGTATTTAATCTTATCCTTTTGTATTGCAGCCTCGGAAAGTGCAGGGTTCCCATTTCCATCATAATGCATATAACCCTCTAAATCGAAATACACTCAGAGAAATCGGTGAATCGAGACGATATACTTCTCTCAATTTTCGCATTTCGATTTATTTTTCTCAAGAGAAAAAGACATCAGCTGGATTTTCGATTTATATCTCTCGTTTTCCGACCGTGCCGGGTCGCCTGAAAGGCGTTTGCAAAACCAAAGTGCGTCTATAGCCGAGTCGAGAGGGTGGTTTGAGTTGCTTTGCATCGTCTAGACGCATGTTAACCTCCGTATTCCACTTCGTGCCGAGGACGCCTTCCCCCCCCCCCCCCTCCTTCCCCCCCATGAACCCTCGGGGCTATGCATTGACACTCAAGAGGGTTAGGCCTACCCTAAAATTAAGGAACGCTCTACCCAAGGGTTGGGGAGATACAGATTTTCAAAGAGGGGCATGCGAATCGTGACCTTTGACCTCAAATCATGCCCCCGGGCGTGACCTGAGAGAGTCAGCAATTGGCTCCAAGGCCCTTTCTTGAGGTCCCTTACAATAATTATAAAGCAGAATTTCGATCCAGGCGGGTCGATTTTCATCCTCCCATAGTACCTTAAGCTCCATATTCCACTTCGTGCCGAGGAAGCCTTCCCCCCCTCCCTCCCCCCCTGAACCCTCGGGGCTATGCATTGACAATCAAGGGATTCACAGGGAACCGCCTGAGTGCATGGCCTGTTCGCCACTTCATCTTCCCTCCGACCCGCGCGACTAGCACGTGCGTCTCGAAGGGATTCCCATGTAACCGCTTACTTCATTCTTCGAGTCCAGTTTCATACGTTGTTTGTATTCCGTTTGGCGCGTTGGTGTACGGATTCACAGGCAACCGCCTGAGTGCATGGCCTGTTCGCCACTTCACCTTCCCTCCGATCCGCGCGAGTAGCACGTGCGTCTCGAAGGGATTCCCATGTAACCGCTTACTTCATTCTTCGAGTCCAGTTTCATACGTTGTTTGTATTCCGTTTGGTGCGTTGGTGGTGCAACACGTATCGCCAGTATGGTAAGATCCGACTGTTAACTATAGATAGTTAACAGTCCTTTAAGAATACATGGATTCCTATGAGAGAAAAAGAGCTCCTTCGCTAAAAGGCCCCGTTATCTCCCCAAAGTGAGGTTTGTGCATTCGGGCTCTAAGTTCAAAAGCCACTATATTCCCACAATAGGTTTGTCTAACGTTAAAGAATACCAGTATTTGTAGCCTATCATCTTAAATCAATTAGTGCACCCGCAAATTATTTTCGGATTGAATTCATAGTACCACCCCCCCCCCCCGGGTAGAAGAAAACAGAAAGAAAGCTCAGACTCCGGAGGACATCCTTCATCAGATGGTTTTAAATAACCGCGCTTATCGGTGTTGGCGCGTTGGTGGTGCAACACGTATCGCCAGTATGGTAAGATCCGACTGTTAACTATAGATAGTTAACAGTCCTTTAAGAATACATGGATTCCTATGGGAGAAAAAAAGCTCCTTCGCTAAAAGGCCCCGTTATCTCCCCTAAGTGAGGTTTGTGCATTCGGGCTCTAAGTTCAAAAGCCACTATATTCCCACAATAGGTTTGTCTAACGTTAAAGAATACCAGTATTTGTAGCCTATCATCTTAAATCAATTAGTGCACCCGCAAATTATTTTCGGATTGAATTCATAGTACCCCCCCCCCCGGGTAGAAGAAACCGAAAGAAAGCTCAGACTCCAGACTCCAGAGGACATCCTTCATCAGATGGTTTTAAATAACTGCGCTTATCGGTGTCGCTATCTGCAATCGATGGAAGTGCTCCTTTTCGTGTGTATTGGGGATGAATGGGGTACGAACAGTGGCGTATTTTTTCATCAGATGGTTTTAAATAACCGCGCTTATCGGTGTCGCTATCTGCAATCGATGGAAGTGCTCCTTTTCGTGTGTATTGGGGATGAATGGGGTACGAACAGTGGCGTATTTTACGGGGGGGGGGCGGGGGCGGGGCACCCATGAGACAGAGCTTGGCGCCTCCTTGGCGACAATGTTTTCACTTGAGTTAGACAATTTTTCCCTTGATTCGGACACACGTGCATGGGACGTTCCTCATGCATGAGTGCCGAAGTCAATTGAAACAGTGTCTGACTCAAGTGAAAAACATTAATATGATATCGCTGATATCGCTCGGATGGGGTTGGGCACCCCCACTTTCCTGCCCTGGCCCCCTGACTCTTCAACCAAAATACAGCCACTGGGTACGAATTCAATCTGAAAACTACGTATTTCCTGAACCCTTTGAAGGTCCGGCCTAGCACTTCATCGCCATGGATGCCCAATGTTATATTTCAGTTTCATCGATGATTTTGCTTTAAACTCTGTGCCCGACACCACCATTCGTATTGAGTGTTATGCATGTTTATATTTTATTGTTAAAATGATATGCGATTGAAGTAGTGACAGCTGCTTCGTTGAGGAAAATAGAAGTGCCCCATAGGAGGTGGGCGATCGTTCTATGCACACAGAATCAAATTAATGCAATTTGGTAGAGAAAAAAGTTGTCCTCCATGTGATGCGTTTTTATCGCATCCAAAATTTGTCCTCCATGTGATGCGTTTTCATCGCATCCAAAATTCGATGCGATAAAGACGCATCACATGGAGGACAGATTTTTTCGCGAGAAAAATGCATCGTACTGAGGCACTG